CCCCCTTAAAAAAAAAAAAAAAAAAAAAAAGGATGCTTTGATGGAGCTATGGATTTGAGTGGAGAAGGATTCATTCAAGAAGAAATGCAATAACAGAGTGGATGCAGAATGGATCTCATATTTGGGGAGCAGAAACAAGACCAGTTTTCCTGAAGGCAGTTCATCCAGGTTAGAAGAATTTGATCAGGCAGAATTTCTGTTGAACCTTTGAATGTTAAACTGCATGCTTTGTACTTAATTTGGTAATTATTGACTGTTTTTTGTGAGGTAACTTAGGTCATCAGTGCTATGTTTTAGAAGCATGAATATGACTGAAATAAATAGAATCAACCCAAGATTAGAGATCAGTTTTCAGAGTGTCCTTTACTCCTCCAACCTGGGGAGGAGGTGGCTTGAAATGAATGGTATCATCTGCACTAACTCACTGCATTTCTGTTGCTTTTGTTCAAAAGTTGGCAGTATTGACATTTTGGGGCAGCTGATTTTTTTTTTTTTTGACAATAAGGGGTTGACCTGTATGAGGCTTCCACCCACTAGACACCAGTCCTAGCCTCCTTCCCTCCAGCTACAATACACTCATCTCTAGATGTTGCCACATATCCCCAGAGTCGAAACTCACCCTCCCTTCAGAGCACCTTTCTTAGAAGAGTTTGTATAACCCGTCTGCTACCTTATATTATCAACACATTATAGTAGACAGAACGCTCTCTACTGTGTTATGCAGTCTGCATACCAGGTTGGTGGCTTTATACAGAATTGGTGTTGCTGGCTTTTCTACAAAGTTTGGAGCTGCAGGCGCGGCTGCATGAGAAGCAGAAGGGAGTGAAAAACAGCTGTCGCCTCGTCATTGAGTGGCCCCCTTAGCTTGTGACTCTTAGTTGTCATTCCTCATGGTCCTTTAGTGGCCCCCTCACTCTTACACAATATTTGATTGGCCCCGGGAAACCATCTCCAGGTCCTGGTTATAAAAACACGGACTTCTCAATTCATTCCAAAGTGTCCCTTGAGTCGTGGCTATTCACTAAGGATATCACAGTAATGACATCCAATTTCTGTGCTTATATAACTTTCATCCTAGTAGATGCATTTCATATTTCTGTAGGCTTTGAGATGTAGCCTTAGTCTAAGATTATCACTGAAGCAAGTGACGTTGAGAGTATATCTTTCTAAGTGATTGGAGAAAGAAAACCATTGCTATCACCTGAGTTTTCAAGTTTTTCTCCATTGGCCTTGGTGAAGTGTCCAGAGATGAAATTACTTCATGCATCTCACCATTCTACATCGTGAAAACCTAAAATACTGGCTAAAATTGGTAGCTTCTACTACTGTTTTGTGTAGTTTTAGGCAGTATATGATCATGGCACTGGTGGAGGTGATATGTACCAGCACGTCACCATGTAGTTATCCGCCAGTGTTACCATTACTTTCATATTCATTTCTCTCTTGGCGAGAGGTTTGGGGCTACTCTCACTGACACTTAAGATTCTTATTACTTGGAAAAGCAGGAAGTATTTTCTAATGGGTGTCATTTTCTTCTTTTAGATTTATGGCAATATGTTTTTTACTGTTGTAATTTTAAAAGAAAATACACAATCCATCTATATTCCAGTCATACCTGGGGGGCTGGGATTTAGCTCGGTGGTTCCGCCACCTGCCTCGCAAGCTCAAGGTCCTGAGCTCGATCCCTGGTAACCCTCCCAAAAAAAGACACACAAACAAACCAATCACAATAGATACTTCTATTAGTGTCTTTTCACAATTTATATTCCCGGTGATGCTAGAGAGCAAGAAGTACATAACTATTTTGAGGCATCGTTAGGCACATTTCGTAGTTTCTCAGATGGAAGAAACGCTTGCCGGTGGTTCTCAGAGTGAAATGGCTTGCAGTAGTTGTGCCTGTGCCCAGGAACTAGCCCTGGGTATGTGCTAAGACCCTGTTAGGTGGTAGAATACCTCAACCTGTGGCCAGGCTCAAGGAATTTCTCGGAGTGCCATTCATAAATCTGAAATTGCTTGAAAAAGAATCGAGTCTTTGTACAATTACTGCTGAGCAGTGCCATTCTTTTGGCTAGTATACAATGTCAGGGAGAAAAATGAGAGCGCTCTGAGATAGTCTCAGGAAACAAAAATTCCTCTTTAAGGAACTCGTGAAAGTAGGTGTGATTTTAAATAGTGTTTCATTGCTGTTATATAGTCTCAGGAAACAAAAATTCCTCTTTAAGGAACTAGTGAAAGTAGGTGTGATTTTAAGTAGTGTTTCATTGCTGTTATAAAATTGCAATCTTTTAGCATTGCTATGTTGGTAAAGAATCAAGCATTTGGACTTCATCGTAACCGGGAGAGACAAACTCTTATGTCTTAGGAAAGTATGGTCAAAGAGCTCTACTTTTAAAAAATTAAAATAATTTAAAATGCATTGTTCACATGCAGCATTACTCAATATAAAATCTAAAGTATTCTCATAAGATTGATTTGTTCTTAATGGGACATCTGTGAAACAAAAAAAATAGACCTTATAGAGTGTTATAGAATCGTGGACTCAAATCTGATAACGATTCCTTTGAAAGCTTAAAAAGCATCAGGATTCCAAATAGAGCTTGCTGGAAAAGGCCCCAGGGCCCTGCCCCTCACAGTCGACCAACAAAGTCTGAGGAGGAAGCCCGCCAGGGAGCGCACATTCACAGCAAAGCCCACCGTGGTACCTCACTGTGAAGGACAGCTGGTTGCTATGGGACCAGTTGTTTATCTCCTAGTTCCCTTAGGCTTTTGGTTGAGGCTGGCCCTGGATATTTGAAAATAATCCTCTCCCATTGAGTCTTTTAACACAGGGAGGAAGGAGCCCACTGCAACGTTGAGTCAAATAATCGTGCTGGTCTGCAATATATACTGAATTTTACATCATACGTTTCTGAAGTGCAGCTAAGAATTTTGATCCAAATTAGAAAATATACCAAAGATGAAAGTTAAAATCCTATCTATGAAATAATCATAAGATTACACGAGAATCATGTTTTTATTTAGATGGCTGATAATTTGACTTCTACTAAGCTATTATTACATTTTTGAGAAGAAATTTCATCTAAAACAACCAACTTTAAAAAGTATTTCTTAGAATTTATGAAACTAAAAGTTTTATGGCATAGCTTTCATACAAAATATTCTACCTGACAGTGTATATCATTATTTTCCCTACAACTTCCTTCCGGGCTGCATACTTTTCCTCTTTCAATGCTGTTGAAGTCCCTTTTCTGTTTGTTTGCTTGTTATGTGGCTGTAGTTTTTACCCATGCCTTATTTATTTTATGCTTTATTATTATGTTTCTCTCTTCCAGTGCCTGGAGCCCTGCAAGGAACCCGGAGACCTGAGAAAGCACCAGTGTCAAAGCTTCTGTGAGGTAAGAAGACATCGCGTTAATTATGTTCCCTAAGCCTGGGAGGCAAGATGTCGCAGTAGTCTTCCCACCTTGCACCTGGTTATTCTCCGGACGGTTTTGTGTGATCTTGCCCTTAAGGAGAAGCATGGGTTTCTCAATCATTTCTTGTCATGAATCCCTCTGGGGACTCTCCCATCCTGGGTAGAAACGCTTGCCCACTCTCACCCGTGTGGGGGGCATCTTACTTCCCCTGTCCTGTCTCTTAGAGAATAAAAGGAATGTACTGTCCTGAAGGATCGATGTCTACAATCACCAGTAATGGGCAGGAGGGGAGGAGCTGTCTTCTGAGCTAGCTCTTGTAGCTTAGTCCCCTCTAAGACGTACCCAGGAAGCTAGGAGACAGCAGACAGCCTGGTTCCAAAAACAGTGCCTGAGTGGGGAGGAGAATCTGAAATTTCTTGAGAACCAATAGAACGCAGTAGAAAGAATTCAGTAGGGCAGCGAAGGATGCCCAGTTCAGGGTCTCGGAGAGCAAACCAGAAATGTGCCCCATGGCATCAGAATGAAATTATGCTATGGAGATCTCTGCAGGAATCCAGGGAGACTCCGTGGTCCAGTCTTCCCCTGTAGCACGTACCAGTGTGATCCTGTTTCTACGCGGATTCTGTTCTGAGAAGATAACTTCGGAACTGGCATGGTACTCACTGCCTCGATGTGTATTGTTAATTTAACCTTCAAGTTACCCTGGGGTTAATTAAGCAAGGCAGATGGTAAATCCCCCAGAGCTATGCATGGAGGAAGCCAGGAAAGCACTGGCAAGTGGAGGCTCATCAAGTGGGATGGCTGATGAGGTCCCCCATGTGGCCAGTATTCCGGGTAAAAGGGCTGGGTCCAACCCGCCCTCCTCTGGCACCTGCCAGGGTCACCCAGGCCGTGGTGCGGGTGGCTGTGCTTGGTCCATCACCGGGGTCATGGTGCTGTACACTTATTTTAGAAAAGTCGAGTGCGAGTGCTTCTCAGTGTCCCACCGATCGCCTCCTACTCTTCTGTATCTTGGTTTATTTTGTCTAGAAGTCTGTTTCTCGGCATTTTGTGTCTGGCTAGAACATTGACAGTTGGAAGACTTTTATCCAGTGAGGCCTGTTGGCAGAAGGGCCTCTCCGTCCTAAGCATTCCTGTCAGGGAAGTCTTGGGAAACATTTTTTTTTTATTTTTTAAATTTTGAGAGTATAAAGACCTTGAATAATACACAGGGCTCCTCGTGGATATCCAGGGTTATTTAGCCAATTGCTCTGCAGTGGACAGCCCTGGCTGGGCCAAAGTCTTAGTGTGAAATCAAGTAGTGTCTCCTTGAATGCTTTTCCATCTCTGTATGTTTTCTCTTTTTATCTTGCAGGAAATGTCTGATATTCTGTAGCAATAGGCTAAATGCTTGAAAACCTTGGAGGACTTTCCCTGCATTTTTTAGGCCAGCCATTCACAGAGACGGATTTTATCCAACCTCGTCCACCTCACCCAAGGAGAGTACATGCAGAGAGTGTGATGTTAGAATCTGAGCTTTCACTGGGTAAAATTTCAGACCCCCAAAGGGACGGTAGATTTGACTCTTAAAACCACTAGACTGTTCAATAGGTTTGGCCCGGTGTGTTTGTGTGTGAGATAGTCTGGTGTTATTTGCCTTTTAAGGTGTATGTTTGCAAATTACACTCCACAGGGAAGGACTGACCTGCTGTTTGCATTTGCAAATAAAGCTTTATTGGCACACAGCAACACTGGATGTCTTGCATATGGTCGACCGTGGCACTTGTGATAGAGCAGCAGAATGGAGTGGTTCTGACAAGTAATAGGGCCCTGAAAGCTGAAAATAATTACTGTCTCAACCTTTACAGGAAGTTTTCCACTCTATGAAAAAGAATCATCACAGTTACCTTCCTAAAGCCTACTTGGTCATGCAGAGTGTTATTCCCAGCATGCATTTCTAAACCTAAATAGTTCCTCGTACGTCGTGATTGTGAAATGTGACAGATACACAAACAGGCAAATAGTTTCAGCTTTGTTAGTTATCTTTCTCTTATTGTAAAAACCTTGATAAACTTTCTTTTCTTTACTGTACACAAAATGTATTTTATGCATTTAAACCTTTCTCATAGTAGTGTGATCTGAATTTACAAATGCCAGCATTCTATCTTTCTTAGTGGTGGATAAGATAGTCCTGCATCCTATGAATAATGGTGCTCTAGTCGTGGGGCAAGTTAGTCTGTGGGCTGTGTCCTCCAAGATGTAGCACCTTCCATCTCTGGATGTTTCTGACTCATGATACTCAGCCCTAAAGTACAAATTTACTAGAGGTCAGCGTCAGAGGGGCAAAATAGGCATGGGATCCTGGACAGCTGTGCCCTCATCTGTTTCAGGCAGCAATCAAGAATTGAAATATGAGTAGTTTGGGATCAACATGTAGCCTGAAGGATGCAGTCAGTATTAGCATACTGCACATACAACTATCCATTTCTTTGAGTTGTTTTGCTTCTCAAATGTTCAGGATTGTTAAACTTGATCTCCGTACCATTTCCTGGGAGAAGGTGAACATCACACCTGTTAGATAATGGACAAGAAGGTTGGTAAGTAAAGGCGAAAGAGACTTATCAGCCTAGGTGACATGGCTGGGTAATAGAGGTAGAAAATCTAAAATGCAGATGGTGTAATGTCGAGTTAAATTTCTCTTTAACTATAGTCTGTTCTAATCTTTTCCTCTTAAACCTATTCTATGCAACAACACACAGAATAGAAGACGATGTTGGACTTCTCTCATCAGGAAACAAAAGATGAACTTGTGTCTAAAGCAGTTGGCCCAACAACCCTGCTTGAACATGGTTGCCCTTCAGTGAGAAGAAAATTTTAGCAATTGAGATTCATAGTCAATCAGTGGTGCTTTAACCTAGAGAAGGAAGACAAAGGTCTTTCCCTACACAGTTTGCTCTGTAGCCATGGAACATTCTAGTTCTACCAAAAGGCAGCTTCGGAAACTACAAGTGTGAAGATGTATCACTCTCACTTGGGGGCAGGGGGCCGTGTGTGCCGAGGATCGTATCTTTTTCTGCCTGCACAAGTGAACTTATGTCTTGAAAATCCACAATGTTAATTAAATGCATCTCTTTAGGCACTGAAGCAAAGCCTACAGCCGGGGAACATCTGTAAAATGGTAAAAGGCACTGAAAGAAGCTCAAGAGATCTAAACACAAAATAATAGCATATGCCCCAGATGTGTGGGGAGTGGGGGGGGGTCAGCACATAGCACGCAATACGCAATGGCTTACCTGGTCAGAATGTGCTCTCGAAGGGACAAACAGAGATGGCCTTTGGTGCTGTTCTTTTTAAACATAGGTGTGCATTTTCTTTCTTATAAAAGTAGTCCTTGGACTTACAGATAAGATCGCCTCTACTTTTTTGGAAAATGCAGTAAATGAAGCATCCATGATTGGTTAAATTAGAGCCCAATACAAAAAGTGGACTCCATTTTTAATAAACTTGTTTTTTATCGGTAAATGTCTTCCTAAGAATGTTGGAGTACGGCTCTTGCATATTTCCTTTCAGGAGCTTGTTGGTTCTTCAAAGATCCAGGAGTAGAAATTGATGGTGCATCAGGTGCGTTAGAATCAGGTTTTCCCAGCCCAGTTGCCCATCGACTGGAGAATGGATAAAGAAGATGTGGTTTTTCTATAAAACAGAGTACTACGCAGCCATAAAGAATGAAAAACTAGATACATTTATAGCTAAGTGGATGCACATTGAAGCCACACTCTTATGAGAAATAAATAGGACACAAGTGTAAATATTGCATAGTTTCCCTGGGGTGAAAAGCTAAAAGTTTAAATAAGGAACAAGATGTAGACTAGATAATGTGAAATAGGAAGAAAGGGGCTGAAGGAGTAGGGAAAGTGGGAGGGGTAGGAGAAAGGAAAGAAGGGAAAAGAGAAAATATGAGAAAAGGAAACGTGCAAACAAAGTCATTGTAAATAGGGGAGGTGGAGGGGGTGTAGGGAGGGCAGGAGAATGGGGAAAGGGTAAGAACCAAGATACATCACGTAAAGGTACAAGATCCCAATGCTGAATGTAACTGTGTTGTATACCGAAAATGTACCAATAAAATTAATGGGGGAAACACAAGAGGAAGAGACACAGGTTTTCCCTCTCTCTGTGCAGTCTGAGCTCTTCAGAAACGAGAGGGAGTGATTGTTCAATCCAGGACTATCCTAGTGGACACGGTCAGCATTGACTTTGAAAGTGGGGTCGGAGGAATTTGATGACAGGTCACATACGAGAAATAGAAGGAAGAGAGGAATGGATCAATGATGATGCCAGGATGTTTGTTCCACACAGTGGTGGAAAGAAAATTGGAATAGTCTCAAATAGGGAATACATGAGAGGCACTGATTTGGAAGAAGTAGGGTGGGGAGAAGGGCTAGGTCAGAAGTTTGAGTGTAAGCAGGCTGTGCTTAAGATGCAAACGAGTCATCCACAGTGGGTGCCCCACAGGCGAGCTCGTGCAGGGGTTGAGAGATTAAGGATGATAGACGGGAGAGGATGCCAGAGCCCTAAAGCCGGATGAGATGGTAAAATGAAGACGTTCCTGGGCTGGGCTCTGAATCACACCCGTCCAGGAGGGACAGGACGAGCGAGCAAATCAGACGTAGAAATAAGAAAGATGGGAAGGAATCCAGAGGAGCATGGAATTCCAAAAAACAAATAATGAAAGCTTACCAAATAGGAAGGAACGATCACGTGTGTTCAGGACTGCAAGAACGGCAAGGCTCGACCTTCTGTCTTGGGATTCCTCAACAGGGGGGACATTCTCAACTTCCGCAGAAGCAAGGACGTTGAGTAATGGAAGAAGAAACCTCTGTGGCATGCGTTCCGCAGGAATGGTTCCACACAGAAGCATAGTGGAGCATCATTTCCTCAGTCTCCTCTGTTCGCTATTAGACTCCGAGATCCTACCATGCCAGTTTGGTTACTGACCGATA